AAGTAGCGCAATCCCAGCCTGGAGAGTAAGAATTGAGGAACGTATCGCAAAGGCTAGGACTCTCATCGGCAGACTGATATATTTCAGGTCAGGCGATAACAGGCCAAGGATTGTGCGCACCGTCAGGATGGCGTTTGCCAGGACAAATGTTAGTTTGTTCAAGCCGGATGTAATGCAAAAACTGACGGAGAGCATAGATGATCTGAAGCAGAGAATCGCTGCTTGCGTAAAGTGGATTTGGCGATATACCAAGAGGTCGACGTGGTTCTACCGGAATCGTCTCTTCCAGAGTGATCAGAAGAGGCTCTATGAATCATTAGAGCGACCAATGGTACGTGAAACGGGTCCAGCACCGGATTGGGCCGACATTGTCGCATTGTAGCGCGGCTTGTGGTCAGAGCCCGTAAACCACAGAGAGGGCCTTTAGACGGAAGTTATGGCGAGTCTGTGCGAGTATTATGCCTATAGACCCCGTCGTCATAACGCCAAATGTCGTATCTGAGGTGGTTCGTAAAACCCCCAACTGAAAAAGTCCGGAGCTCGACGGGCTATCACTACTGGCTGAAGGGGTTCGTGGTGTGTCAAGCTATGCTCACCCGACAGCTTCAAGAGGCTCTCAACCAGAAGTCGCTCCAAAGCCTCTTCACTACTGGGATCACTCATTAAGGACCAGGGTACCATAGATCCGAGCAAGTACCGCCCTATCACGTGTCCACCACATATATAAGACACTTACATCCATTTTTAGTGCAATGATGAGATAAAGCATGTGATGTGATAGAGTAGTCGTGGAACCAAGGAATCACTCCTTTTCGACGCGGTTATTGGCAAAGTGAAATTTCTCCGCCTGGATAGACTACAGAAAGGCATTCAACTCGGTGCCACATACATGGCTAAAGAGGGTCCTTGAGCTTGAATAAGATTCACTGTACAGCTACAGACTTCCTGGAGCAGTGTATGGGGCAGTTTAGTATGATTCTTTGATATCTAGGCGAGCAGATGACGGCTGCGGAAAGCCGCATAAGGATAAGAAGGGGTATCTATCAGGGCGATTGTCTGAATCCAATGTGGTTCTGTCTCTCTTTGAACCCTCTCAGTACTTTACTGGAGGGCTCCAGGAGGAGATTTCAGCTTCGGAAAGGAGGTAAAAAAGTGACCCACCTTTTCCTCAAGTTATTTGTCTCCAGTCGCACCCATCTTGTGGAATTGCTAAAATTTATTTGTGATTTTAGAAATTCTATTAGAATGCAGCTGGAAACGGATAAGTGTGCGGTCCTCCATATTGAAAGGGATGTTGATGATGGGTTGCTAACTCTGAGGGCATAGATCATCTATGCCCGTCAACTTAAAGACCCTTTCCGAGGCTGAAATTTACCAATACCTGGGTATGTCATATAACTGTATCGATGAGGCTGGTATGAAACAGTCAGTTTGTGACGTGTTTTATGCACACTTGACCAAAGTGCTTAACAGCCTATTGTCCGGTGGGAATAAGACACGCGCATATAACGGTTAGGTCATACCTGTCCTCATGTATACCTTTGGAATAATCAGGTAGTCTCACACTGAACTTAATGCCCTGGATAGAAAAGTCTGCACTACCATGACATCTCATAGAGTGCATAAACCGAGATCGTTGGTAATGAGGCTGTACTTTACGCGAAAATATGTTGGGCGTGGCTTTTTAAGCGCGCTCACTATGCATAATCGCGAAGTGTGCAGGCACCGTAATAACTTCCTGGCGAGATCGAATGATCTATTTATTCTATAGGGACGTCATTCCTTGTGATAAATTACTTACCCCTCTATTCTTAGCAATGGCAGAACCCAGCAGTATATAGTATTGTCAACCGGGAGACAGTATGGAAGGAGAAGAAGCTCCAAGGGAGGTTCTACAAAGCTATTCATGAGCCTTTCGTAAACACTGTAACCTCCCTCCACTGACTACGCGTTATTGACCTTATCGGGGTAACCGAGGATTTTGTCTGTGCAGTACGGGATCAGGTTATTAATACCAACAACTATCGGAGATAGATCCTAAAGGATGGCACCATCGATATCTTTCGAGCTGGTCGCTGTCCTAGTGAGTCATTTGGGCATGTCATCTTCAGTTGTGCGCAAACTAGAAGCCAGAATCCGTCACCAGGAGCTCGTTGTGAAATATGGTCTCGTGAACGAGAAAGTTCCGTATTATAAGTACTTGCCGGAAGCCGTGCTTGAATATGTTCGCGCCAGGCTCTACTGAGACTGGGCCATTATCACAGAGAGGACTATTCATGCGAATAAGCCTGGTATTGTGCTGATGAAAGCCGAAACAGATAAGCAAACAAATTATCTGGACCTGGCTCACGAGGTGACCGATATGTGGGGTGTTCTGCCGACCAGAATTATTCCTGTAGTAGACCAATAAATGCATGTAGTTTATTATTATATTTAATTCATTTGCTTTGTACATTGCCGTATTTTTCAACCGAGTTCAAAAAACGAGGTTTCTCAATTTGAATGCAGATTTTATGTGTGTTAACTCAGAATTTTATTCTAGATTATACTGATGTAGTTTTGATGACGGTCGTTTTTTTAATTTGATCACGATCTGATATGTAATTTTTGAGTCATCCTTAATAATGCGTATTTAATTGACTTCTGACTACATTGATGATGTTCTCATTCATTTATATTGAAGTCGATTGTACAAAATTTTCTGTAGTTTATTTTTTGTGTATTTTAAGTTTCTGTAGATCTTTCATTTACTAAGTCGTAAGACTTCCTTTCTGCCTAGGCGTCCGTCGGAGTATAAAACATTATTTCTAATACTAAAGCTCTGCTGAACATTAGAGTCTTCCAAGGAATGCCCTAAATCACGGACCTGACTCATCTGCATCTATCGACTTTTAGCATGTCTGACCAGGTCGTCATCTCATCTAGTAGTTGGACCGCCCTACACTTTACTTACGGGTACGAGAACGAGTTATAACAGCTAGCCCATTGTGGTAAATAAGTAAACACAATAATTTGATGAATACATTAATGATCTTAACGATGTAGTGGCGTTGTAAAATTAACCACTACCCCATATCATCCCGTGGTTGTCGTAAGAGGCAACAGAGGGAAACTGAAACAAGAGATGGACAGCATTATCTTCCTGATAACAACTTGAAATTTAAAAAAAACTGCGGTAGCTAACCCGCCTGTTAGGCATGGCAACTATGGCAAAATCCACTCTAAGAGAAAACCTTTCGGGGAGGTTTATGTTCAGTAGTGGACTCTGACAGGCTGTAATGGATGGATAATGGATTAATGTTCTAATCTTATTCTATGTCAAAATAGATAACTGCCTACTTAAATTTTGTACGGTAACATATTGAATTTAACTAAAACTTGGCTGATTGAAGGAAACTAAATAAGTTCTTGATAGTTTCAATAGCTTAGTTCAAGTACTGAGTTCAACGCCTCGAAACGACTGTATTGGATTTGAAAAGATTGGCAATAGCACTCGGCTCGTTTGTTTCCGTAACTTTTTCTTACATAAGACTGGTTAGAAAAGTTTATTGTGATCATTTTATTTTATTTTCTATATCGTAACCTGGTGTATTCTATGTTGTATAAATCCTCTGACCGCCGTATTATATTTACACAGTGTAGTGTCGTTGTAAGAACTACTACCCCACTATGCACTACCTCATATGATCCTACTACTACTACTATCGGCCTCCGGTCTGAGCAGGGGGGTGATGTAGCGGCGCTGTTGTTGCGCCACAAGCGAAATACACCGAAGCCTAAATCGTGCTATCAACATTCCTAATCATAAACAGTACGTATAGAACTTCTCCGAACTATCACACGGAGTGTTGGCCGCTCCCCGGGCAGAACACCTTGCCCGGCGGGAGATCTCTCCTTTTCCTTCCTCACCGGCCACACATATATCATTTAAAATAAAACACTTAAACTTCAGTATGATTGACTAAAGTTAAATATGAAGAGCAAATAAATTATTTGATTTGAAATTATTTGCTTTGACTCATAAATCATCTTTTTTACATTTATTTTTAATTACTGTTCATTAAACCATGAAGTCCAGAAATAAACCACCTCATTTCGCCCAGTGAGAGTCGTCAGCATCCACTTACCTATATTGATATCTAAAAAAAATTATACTATGAATGAAGGAATAACAATCGTCCAAAAATATATCTAAAATAAATTAATAGTAAAAACTGCTTTTATCAAAACTGTCAAAAATGAAGAAAATAAATTTTCAATCAAATAAAACCCATAAATTTATTACATAATTAAAATTGAAGTGTCTATTTTTTATGTTATAATAGCAGAATTTTACTAAATGCTTATAAAAGCATATACGATATTTATAACCAAAAAAAAAACATTTTTTTTCACATACACGTACGAAGTCGCTGGGGATTTCTAGTAATAAAATAAATCTGAAATTTAAAAGTAAAGAAACTAACTGTCCGAAGACAGAGAGGAGATCCGGAGGCCAATTTGTATTAGAAACTAGGTATTCTATCGTAGTCCACAGTGGCGACAACGCATCTGCATTTTGATTCTTAATCGAGGATAAATGTAGATGTTTATGAGCCACATCATTCCCTTCACCGCTGAACACGTGGTATATTAGCACTCAAAATTACAAAATAAATATTAATTGCAATTTGCAGTTCTCAGCGGGGAACGAACCCCGATTGCTCACCATTTAAGGAATTTACGGCGAGCACCTCACCTCTAAGATACCATGGCTCTGTTTTAATTATAATGTTATAAAAGTTCTACGTCTAATAATGTATAAATAAAGACTGATGGTTAAAACTAAAATTTTAACCATCATTTTTTTACACATAGTGATAATAAAAATGTTATAATGTGTTACATATTATGGATTGACTGGTAGAATATGCTTCAAGGCATTAAGTCCGCCTTCTGTATTCTTTTGTCTTAAGGATGCAATAAAGAATAAATAAATAAATAAAATAAATTGTTCTTAGGTCGTCCTCAACCAACGTTGACTTGGTTAATAAACAACAAGTCTATCGAAGACCACACGATTTTGAAGAATGATGGTAAGGTGATCATCAGCAAGATCAATATAGGAGGTGCAGAGAGGAGCTGGTTGAATACGACCATACGTTGTCAAGCCACCAACACTCCTCTACTGAGTCCCCATGAACGGACTGCAAGAGTTGAAATGCATCGTGAGTACAATATAAGATTAAATATAATAATAAAGATAAAATAAAAGAACGAATGAATAAATGAAAGTATGTTTTAGTGCATGAATCAATAGAACCACATAAAGTAATTAGATAGTAAAACATTAAAGAAAGTAAGAAAGCAATACAAAATACATTGGGTAGATAATAGTTTTTACGTAGGGTTATTTGCCAATATAGGTCCCACTGCTCGTCACAGGCCTTCTCTCATTTTTGAGAGGTTTGTGACATTAATATACATTTATTTTTCAAAAAGATAATAGCCAGACTAATGAAGGAATTTAATGTTTCAATACAATTACAAAATTGATACAAAATATTGCTAAAATCGTCAAATTTATTGTCAACTGTTTTGAATGTTATATTATAGTTAAAAGTTTATTAAATCTAGTCGAATGTGTAGAAATATTATTAAAGTCCACATATAAAAAATTATTGAAATGGCATAATATAGATATGTACTCAGGAAAATTATGTTTCTATCTATTGTTAGGCTGAAGTTGTTAAAAATGTTTGAAACCAATACCGCCAAACAAACATTTTTAATCTACTTGGTCTAACGAGGCATGTTTGGGTGCATATTTGCACTTATTTCCATAATATGAAAAAGAGAAAAAGAAGAAAATAAAGAAACATATTTTTTCACAAACTACTTTACGTGGTAGAGACATGCTGTAGCTATATTATGGTATAATCACGAATGTGTCGACTCAATCTGGGAAGGACCACGCTCTCACTAAATAGGAGCGTTAAATAGCTGCTTAATATTGCCGTGTTTCTTATAATAAGTGTAAAGAACCGGCGACCCTTTTTACTGGAAGCGAGACATTCTATTTTAAACCTCACGAATGACAACACTACTGCATTTTCATTCTTAATTGAGGATGGATATAGATGTCTATGGGCCACAGCATCCATTTCTCATCAAGTGGACTGTGTGCTCATATGCTACCTTTATTCTATAATAGAAGTTATAGAAAGTCAATATTTTACTTTTACGACTAGTTCATATAGATTTTCTGTCCTGGGAACAACCACCAAGAAATCCAGTGGGACTTCAGCAGAAACTCAGCGTGACTTTCTTTACACATATTATAAAATTTTGACACATAGCATAGCAAAAGCATAGCATATTAAAATATTTTCAAAATTTTATAAAAGTATAGCAGAAAAAATTGTTCAAAAGACACACAAGTACAAAGAAACTTTTTTTACTATTTAGGTTTGTAGACGGTTTGATTTCTTTTTTATTCATTCATTACAGCCTACAAAAGACCACAACTGAATGAAGGCTGATCGGTTAGATACAGCAGCCCGGCTTGCCTTGCTAACTCTGTCGGGAACCACGTTTTATTAAATATTTAGGTTATTAGCTGGAAAATGCTCATCTCCTGTTTCATTTCTTTCGGTTGCTTCTTACGATACCCATGGAACAATATGAGACAGTGGATTTTCTAACGCTGCCACCACACGTTAAAAGTTAAAGCCTATATACGTCCCATTGCTAGGCACAAGCCTCCTCTCGCCGTTAAGAAGGTTTTTATGGCAAGGATGTGTTCGCTGTGCTACCCCAATGCGTATTGGCGGGTTGCGGCGTATTCACTTGTCTTCGAAATATATTTTTGTTTCTCAAACAAGCAGGTTTCCTCATGATGTTTTTCTTCACCGCAAAAAAACGTGATAAACAATAAACTTTAAACTTTAAGAATAATGTTTGCAGATTGTGCTGAAATTTTAGATCTAAAGTAAAGTAAAGTAAAGTTACAGCCTATATACGTCCCACTGCTGGGCTCAGGCCTCCCCTCATTTCTGAGAGGGTTTAGGGCAAGGAAGTGTCCGCCGCGCTGCCCAAATGCGTGTTGACGAACTTCACATGTCTTCGAAATATTTTTTTTCTTATTCCTCAGACATGCAGGTTTCCTCACGATGTTTTCCTTCACCGCCGAGCACGTGGTAAATCAGCACTTAAAATTGCAATTAACAATTTCATTGGTGCCGGCGGGGATCGAACCCGGGTTACTCGCCTTCTGTTATATTTACAGCGAGCGTTAACCACTGAGCTACCACGGCTCTATAATTTTAGATCTATAAGTACTTAAATCATAAACTATTTAACTATTCATCGCTTAGAAACGTATTGGGGATGCAAAGCAAAATTTACCAAAGGAAATTACCAGAATTAAGTTGCTTCGAAACCGGCACACAAATCGTGAGATACGAATTTGTCTTGGCACGTAGCTTCGTTCCTGATTAATGCAGCTAGGATTTGCAGTTGAGACGCTTTGACTGGTTTACGAGATGCAACTCGATATATTTGTAAATGTTTAAACGTTGAATGTCGCAATTAGCAAATGCTAGCTGAGAATTAAGTTATAGCAAATATTTTATCAGTATTTAATAAATAAACTTTAAGAAATGAAATTAATGATTTTATTTAATATAGATTATTGCATAATACTTATTTGAAGTAATTTTTTTATTTACCACTGGTTCGGCAAAAAACCTCTGCCATGGAAAGAACCGGCAAGGAACCCAGTGGGACTTTTTTTAAAAATATTTCACTTTACAATATTTTTTAATGAATTTTACAGAACTAGCATGGTGACGATCACCTCATTTCCAGGGGTGATTTTCATTTATATATTCTATAATATTATAATAACCCTAAAATATTTAAGCGTTTTTAATGACAAATTTTATACATTTTCTGGGATTTTGTTGTAAAAGATTACTAATTTTGTGGAGTCTATTAATTGTTGCTACAAGTTTGTCCCTAGTGTTTAAGGTATGAACATCTTTAAACCTATTTTAAAACTAATTTAATTTCAAGTTCTTTGCCTAACATACCTTGTGTATTTTGATGCATCGAGTTTATACAGTTTTTATTTATTCTATTTTGTGAAATTTCACTGTTAAGTAATGATAAGTTGTATTCTAAGCAATATTCTAAATTATTTTGCTAGAGATTGCATTTATTATCTTATGTGATTTTAATGACTTGGACTGATTTCAAATCAATTGTAAAATGATTTTGCTGCTCAATAGAAGCAGGTGTCATGGAAGCCAAAAAATTTAGGTTAAAATATAAATAATGAGATAGCGCATTTGTTACTGTCTTAGACTATATTTTGATAGGTAATACCTATGTATTGTCAATAAATTCTTAGTTAAATTAATAATTTAACCAAGAATTTAGTTAAATTAAATTAAAATTAAATTAATATCAATCTAATAAAATTTATCATAATAATTCTTATAATTAAATGTCAATTTTTTATTATTATTACATGTAGGATTATTCGTTATTAAATTAAAATTATATCGTAGTTTATTTTCTTGTGGACACCCTTCATGTTAGGCAATGTAAACAAGATAACTTTATGCACTTTTACGTTACTAAGTTATTCAATATATTTTAATAATTGACTCTTGTTCATATTGCGTCTTCTCCCAACAAAAATAATTAATATAGTATATTTAGGGTTAACTTTAGTACTTAGTTAAAATTTTATTCATAATTTCACTGAATGATGCTCCCAGTATGCAGTCACCTATTGCCCTTTTAAACAGTTGTTTAATTATATTCCCAAATGTTTGGCTATGTCATTACTACGCACATTATTTTTGTAATTTTTCTGCTTTTTTATGGTACTGTCATAGAGTGTAGGTGACGAAAATGAGATATTTCTGCTTGTCATTTTATTAACACACAGTGTCCCTATAGAACTCGGCATTTAACGCTGATATTCGTTTTGATATTTAAATAAATTGTCAAAACATTCCTCCTTCATCTTATCATGAATCATCAGTAAAATCTATTTTATTGTAAAATTTAAATTAAAATTTAAAATTTTTAAAATTTATTAATTGCAATGTTTTGTGAGATTTACGTTCTACGAGCTCATCGAACAGTTTGAAATGCTTGCAATTTATCAAAGTATTGTCTAAATTATGAAATATGCTCATTAGCTTCAGTTAACTGTAATTGCAATGCAGCAATGATTCTGAGAGCTTCCTCATATTCTTTGCTGCATCGATCAAACTTATCTACTGTCCCCTGGAGCTGATTCCTTTCCTTAATTACACTTGTATACTCTCTAGGCAACTTTACCATATCACATTTTAGTTGTGTGTTTTAGAAATTATATTTATTGTTTCCTTTTCATTGTCATTCCTTTCTTTAAGTAACAGCTCACACTGTTCCCTGGACGCCATGAGTTCTTGGAGCGCAAGATGAAGTTGGTTCTCCATCTGGCGCGTTTGGCGTTGCGAGTATTCATTTTACAATGTATTATAATTAGTAAAAGGAAACAAAGATGGAAAATCATAGAAATAGATTAAGCAAATATATAATCGTGAGACTCTAATTACACATCTCAAAATAAAATATCAAGAAGACAATTCAAAATGAAATTCAAAAACAACAATACCATTTAAGAGATATATCGTAAATACTAAAAGGGATAACAAAAATTACAGTAACTTTGGTGTTTAAACCATGTTCGTTACCTGCTGTCACATTAAGTTGAGACACTAAAATTAATTTGTTTATATATTTACTACTTTTATTTATTACACAATACAGATTGTGCATAATTAACAACTATAATTTTAATATGAAGTGGAAATTATCAATAACAATATTTATTGTGAAATATTGTATTTATTGACTCTTGTGAAAATTGAAAAATTCACCGGAATTTTTCAATTTATGTTCAGCCATTATTATTTAATAAAAAGAAAGTACTTTACTGAAAGAGTATTATATAAATTTAGTCCAAATTAGATGATGGGGCTATGAAATGTATTATCCAACTTTACAACTGGCAAAGGCACGACGCGAACAACAATTATTTACCATGACAACCAATTTCAATGATTGTATTTGATCACTTACACTCTCATTGTCGTGATAGCTTCGGAGCTTAGTGCTCGCTGTAAATTTCACAGTACACGAGCAACCCGGGTTCGGTCCCCGCCAGCACCAACAAAATTGTTAATTGCAATAATTATGTGTGCTAATTTACCACGTGAGCGGCGGTATTATCGTGAGGACACCTGCATGTCTGGGAAATTTAGAATAAAATAAATTGAAGACAAATGAAGACCGCCAATACGCTTGGAAGCAGAGCAGGGAACTTTCCTTGCCCGAAAACCTCAAAAATTAGATGAGGCCTATGAACAGCAGTAGAACGTATATAAGCTTTAACAATTCTTTGCTTTATCTTTAATTCTTTTATAAAAATAAGTATATATCATATATATATATCTACAAATATATAATATATATATATATATATATATATATATATATATATATATATATATATATATATATATATTTAAAAAATAAGAGCTCAGGTTTAGCATACTATATTAAGCCAATTCAGCATTACTTTAGGCAGAGCGGAGAACGTTTACTTGTTACCTGTGTACAACAGTGGGATAATACGCTGTAAAAATTTTTTACTTAAACTTTACTATACAGTACAACAATAAAAAATAAGCTCACTGACTCAGTATAGTACAAGCCTATTTAGTAATTGGAAAACATCCGCGTCGCGGGAGTCAGCTATAAACTCATCGTCAGTTAAGACACCCTATCTTTTAAGAATTTCTACATTTGAAAAAAAAGTCAACAACTGTGTGAAAACCCTATGAGGCCGCTATACACTATTCTTATTCGAGTTAATTATCTTAACACTTCCTAGAAAGGCTTTCCTCCGATATTAGATGCAGATTGTTTCAGTGTGGAATACGAGGATTGAAATCCGTTCGATCGCTTGCTATTAATTTGCTCCTTTTTTGCATAGAAGCCAAGTGGTAGGTAAAAATCCCTTTCATCTATTTTTGTCGCCAAATAGCAGCGCTGGCACTGCAGTGTTCTGATCTGAAGGGTATATAGAACCAGTATTACAGGCATTTCATCTTATTTCTCAACTCATCTGGGGCCTTATTTGTTTGCAGGTGTCCATGTGCTGTAATAGCCACTTACTATCAGGACTGTGCGTTCGCTTGTCACTTTTTATACAAAAGTTTATCATAAACACAGTTTAATAAAAAAATTCAAGCTTCCTGCCTCCGAAATTTCCCATTTCCCTATTGACATTCAAAGTCGCACATTTATGTTTTGACAAACTCAGGGATAATATATTCACGGGAAAACGCTTGTTAAACAAACAAACTCCAGATGCGCAGTTAAATTTTAATTTTAACGTGGTCACACTCGTCTCCTTCATATTAAATTATTGTGTCAATTCACCAAAACACAACAGCCGCAAGTATAAATAATTAATATTTTCCATAGTTCGACCTACATCAGTGTTCATTGTTGAAAAACCCGGTCAGATGTCAGCCGATACTGGGGTGACGTTGGAATTACCTCAAAATCGTACATTTATGTTTTGACAAACTCGAGGATAATATATTCACGGGAAAACGCTTGTTAAACAAACTCATTTTAGATGCGCAGTTAAATTTTAATTTTAAAATGGTCACACATGTCTCTCCCATATTAAATTATTATGTCAATTAACCAGAACACAAAAACCGCAAGAATAAATAATTAATATTTTCCATAGTTCGACCCACATCAGTGTACATTGTTGAAAAACCCGGTCAGATGTCTGCCGATACGGAGGTGACGTTGGTGTGCGTTTCACATGGTAGCAGGCCACCAGCGCAAATCACTTGGTTCAGGGAAAATAGACGATATACACGAGGAAAGGTGGGTAATTCTTTTCATCTTACGTATAAAAACTTTAAAAGTCAAAAATGTGAGAATTCTTTAACGTTTTATCTTTCGTTCCGTTGGTACCGTATATGGCGAATATAGGAAAAAAGTGGAAAGACGATAGTTGGCAAATAACCATCCGTTTACGCCAGATATAAAATATGTACCTAGACTAACGATTGGTGCAGCGTTATAGGCGAGACTCTTGTACTGCCTTCTTCTTGTACTGTTTTCAAGCATGGCGTTTATGATACACCCTCTTACCAACAACAATGGTCCACATCCACAAGTTCATGGGCTGAAAATGAAGACGAAGCCATTTTACATTCTCCACACAACATCGTTTTAATATGAGGTGTATTTGTGTCTGTGTAATCCTATTTCAATAAAAGTGCAAGTATTTTTTGTTAAAACTACTAAAATATTTAGAATAATTAGGATCCTTTTTTTAACGATAAAAAGTTTTTAAATGAGTCTTCTATCATGAAGTTAACATATTATGCCAGTAATATTTTTAGTGGACACAAAAGAAAAATAACAAGCTTTTATCACGAAATACCAATCAGACATCAAACATCAATACTTAAAAAATATTATAATATGTGGGTTGGAACCAACCATTGGAACAACTACGCCCAATTATTCTATAAATTGTTGCCCACCAAGTAACATCGGACGCTTTTAAAATGATTTATCATCTAGTCTATAACAGAAAACAACAATACAATTACGAATACTGATTGCAAAGAATTTGGAGAATAGGTTTTTAACGATCTTTTACTGTCGCGCTGCGCGCGAACGACAAAGCTGGACAACCAAGTGAGATAGCTGCCGCTCGGACTGATTATACCTATGAAACATTGACAAAATTACCGCCGGGATTCCCCCGTTTCCTCTCCCAAAACTGGACCGATATTAATTAATTTTGTAAGAACTATATAAAAAACAGGGTTGCAATTTATGTATGTTTTATTTTTTATGTTTGACTGGACAGTTTTAGTAATTTTAGAAGTTCTTACCCGACTGCACCAGAAGATTTTTTCGAGTATTTGTATCTCTGTATGTATGTCTATTTCTTTGGCATCCTCTGTAGCCTTGACAGCTTGATGTATTTTAACATATAGGGTATCGTTAGATTCGTCAAGTGGTGGAAGTAACAAAGTGTATAAAATTTTCTCTTTTAAGTAAATGTTTTACGCTGTCGGATATTACATTAATGTTTCTCCATCATTGAGTTGGTTGAACAGTTATACAGACACACACACACGTGTGTGTACATACATACATATATTTTTTCAAACTTATTATTAGCCAGTGCGTTACCAAAATCCCATCTGGTGGTAAGTGGTGATGCAGCTTTAGATGGTAAATCGCACTGTCTTAGCGTAACAAAAGCACTCTTGACTTGAAGACGGCGAGATTGTTTTCGGACGGAAAAATAGACGCCGGCTAATTATTTCACTCCCTTACTCCTTTGCCTGTTCCATTGCTACCGTAATATAACAAATAAATTACAATTCTTTACATTAAAATATATTTAAGCAATTCCCCGTAGGGAAAGACAAATCATCAAAAGGTACACAGCAGTGGTAGATAATAATAATAATAGATGATAATAATAATCTTTATAGATCGTATCGTAAGTCTTTTATTTTACTATCCAGAAGAAGTCTTACTATCGAGAGAGAAAACAGAGAAATACAACTGTTTGAACTAAACGCCGCCTAGATATCTATACCGGATAGAGCGAACTTCAGACTTTGGAAATAGTCGGTTTGAATTCACCATTTGTCGGCCGTCGTAAAGAACTCCTAACACAAACGTTTTATGCTTAACTGGAATGGTCGAAGGAAGTACAAACAGTTTAAAATTACAATTATTATTTAAAATATTATATCAATATGCAAAATATTACATTTATATGAAACTAATTGTTACGGATTTAATAATTCAGCACCCACCATTGGAACGGTCACATGGTCACGGGGGACTGAAGTGTTGACGTTCCAATGTTGAAAGTACTGAAAACGTCGGGAATTTAAAATAACTTGATATACTATATATTATATATATCATTATTTATTATCATACATACATATACATAAACACTCACGCCTGTCACCCAGAGGGGTAGGCAGAGACTACAGACTTTCATTTAGCACGATCCTGACATACCTTTCTCGCCTCTTCCACATCCATATACCTACGCATACATGCTCGTCGGTTAAGGGTACTCTTAATTTGGCTCATTTTTAGTATATCGCCAATTTGGTCGACAAACTTCCGCCTAGGACGTCCCTTTCCGACTCTTCCATTCACTTCTGCAACATATATTTACTTTGTCAGTCTTTCCTCATTCATTCTTTCTACATGACCAAACCACCGAAGCATTCCTTTCTTAATCCTGGTCACCGCATCATCTTGCAAACCACACTCTTCTTTTATTACACAGGTTCTCACCCTGTCACTCAGATTCAGCCCTAACATGCTCCTTAGCGACCGCATTTCTACTGCATTTATTCTACTCTCGTGCTTCTTCTGCCACACCCAACTTTCACTACCATACGTTAAAATAGGGACTAATACAGCACTATGAATTGCCATACGTGCCTTTTTTGACACATTCTGACTTTTCACAATAGAGTGTAGAGCCCCATTTACTTTATTTCCAGCATTCACTCGTCGTTCAATATCCTTATCATATCTCCCATCCCTGCTGAATACACATCCCAAATATACGAACTCATCCACTTGCTCAATTAACTCTCCTTCTATTCTTATTTCACATACCGTTTTGCTTTCATCTCTTTCAAAAACCATCACTATTATATTTAATATCATTATCCTTATAAACTGTAAATTATTTAAGGAAACGGATATTTTAATCATATAGCTGTGTTGTAATTTTGTATTTAACAGCACACTGACTTTGCGAATGAGACATCGACAATCAGTAGACTGGCCATGCTGCCACACCCGGATGACGACGGCGCTGTAATAAGGTGTCGCGCTGACAATCCCGTTCTGAGAGTGGCTTTAGAAGACTCTTTCAGGATGAGTGTTGTTTGTAAGAAAAACAAGTATAAATTATTTCTTTTGTTATGTTTACTTCTGTAGAATTTTTTTGTCTTTGAATATAATTTGCGATAATTTTATTTTCGTTATTAAATATTGGTTTTTTGGTTAATTTAATTGTAGTTAGAAATAAAAATTGTAATTGATAGAATCAGGCGTTACTTTGCGGAAATTCATTATAATAAAGATATTAATATTTAATTCGTGCTCTTCAATCCAGGTAAGACACATCATTGAATTTAATTAAGCGGATGGTTGCGAATTAAATATAAATATCTTTACTTTAATAAAAAATGTATTTAATAATATTTCAAAGAAAGCGATTCCTTTCTTGAAATATCGTTATTAAAATCAAAACCTGTAAACAAATCAATTTCAAATGTGTAATTCAATATAAATTGAATCGTTGTTGGTACTTTGTAAATAATAATAGGATTGCAAGTCCCCCAGTTCACTGAAAAATATTTTTTTATCATTTCATTTTATATAATTACTTTCAGTTACATTCAAAAGCCAAAAAATAAAATTGATATGTTTCTGTTGGTTGATTTCTTTAATAAACTTCACTTTAAACAGATTTTTTAAAAGTTCTTTGAATTTTTTTTGAATTCATTGATTTCCCTCGTGATGGTAGAACCATGATGTAGTTATATTAAGGTTGCTATAATATTCGGTAGCTCAAACTCAGAAAAAGTAATAATAATATTACTGTTACTCATGTGGTAACAACAATCGGAAACTCACTTTACTGAAAATAAGGCATTACATTGTGCGTCGTAGAGCTATACTTCAGCACGTATAGAGTCATGCTGCAGTATAATATGATTGTAGCACGAAATCGTAGGCTAGACCGGCGAAAAACCACGCTCTCACAGAATACCAGCCTAAAATAGCAGCTCAATACTGCTGCTGTGTTTCGTATGGTTTCTGTAAGAGAACAAGAGACGCATTTTACCGGAAACGAGGCATTTCATCTTAATCCTAGGGGTGACTATGCAGCTGCATTTTGATTCTTAATGGAGGATAAATGCATATTCTTATGGACCACAGTATCCACTTACCATCATGGACTATATGGTCGTTTGTCGCTCTTACACTATGATAAAATATGTCAAAAGTAGTGACAATTAATCTGTAGTTTTATTTTGATCTATATTTCTTAATCCTATGATAGATGTACAATAATATATACGCAGCATCCGCTTACAATTGGGTAGACTGTCAGATCACTTGTAACCCTTAATTTAATTAAAAAGGTACTTATTTTTCAGACAGACCAGTACTAACAATGTCACTGGGTAGTACTCTCAACCCAAATGATATTAAAGAAGGTGACGACGTTTACTTCGAATGCAACATCAAAGCAAATCCAAAAGAGCACCGCATCTCCTGGTATCATAACGTGAGTGAGTTAACAACGAAATGTATGTCATAAATTTAAAATTTTTTAGTGCAATATCAAGACGTACGTGAGCGTCGAACACTGAAGTATCTTTTTTTAGTATTTATATCATTCGAAAGGTGTTGTGCCTAAGATACACAAATAATGTCCTTCAGACCGAGTTTCGGTCGCTGCGGTCTGTTTGCACAGAGGCTAGACATCTACGTAGGACAGAATTATAGTACCCAAGTGTATGCACAAGCATAGGTGCACTTTCTATTCCTACAATCTCATAGTCCGATGGAACGGTAGGCCGACAAGACCAGTAAGGGATCAGGCGCGAAACCAACAGCTTTACTTGCTTTCCGAGACTACTGAAAATTTCTAGTCAGAAAAACCCAATAACTGATTATAACCATATCCGGGATTCGAACCAGGTATTTCAAGATCATTAGTCGTGTTTATTACCACTTGACCAACGAGGGAATCTAAGATGCACTACTAATATTACTACTACTACCTAGTAGTAGTAGTTGAGCAATAGATCACTGCCCATCACAATTCCATAGCTCAACCTCCTCCCCCATAGATTGCCACAAAGTACGGTCCTGAGTCATGTGTCATTAATCAGGTTGTCACTCTATCTATTGGGAGGCCACCCAACAATTCACTTGCTATTACGAGGCTGCTACTCAAAAACATTTCTTCTCCATTGGTAATCGATTCTCGATTTATGTAGCTTGTCTATTGCCACTGAGGTTTACTGTTCAAGAAACTGCAAAAAATCTTCTTGTCTGACATACCTCAAAATGTTAAAACGAAACTGTATAATGAGTGTTGTCAAAGGTGATTATTTTCGAATCCCGCAAGGAACAAGTATTTATGGCCTTCAAATAATTGTGCCAGGTCTGGAAGGATGTTTGCTCTTTTGCAATTTAAATATATTATCTGCCTATATATAGGACATATTATATATATATATATATATATATATATATATATATATATATATATATATATATATATATATATATATATATATATATAGATCTTTTTACGGTAAATGTTGATCAGACGCGACTTCACGCGAGCACTTTGTTGATCCGAAAACTCATGTTGATCCGGCGCCTTTTGTTGATCCAATATGCATCTCTGGTGACTAATGTGGCTCCAACCGGATCAACATCAGCACTCACGAGACTGTTTGCTAGCGTTGGCCGAAGTTGATCCGATATACAAATCCACCCTGCGATGGTTACGGAAAATGTTGATCCGATTTAAATGAGCCAATCAGAGCACAGCAAACGATAAGATAAACGATCGGATTGGCTGAATGCAGCCGCGACGTTGCCGTTTCGTATCTTAGGCGGTACAAGCTACAGATTAAATGCGTGTTATGTAATGCATTCAGGGTGCTATTTGGTCTACCTCGTTTTTGTAATGCGCCGGGTATTTTGGCGGATGCGCATGTGGATTGTTTCTACACCACCATGCGTAAACGATGCACATCCCTGGTGCGCAGGGTGCGGGCCAGTTCCAATGGTATCCTGAGGGCATTTTCTGACAGGTTTGAGGTCAGTACCTGAACCATTGTCATATGGTGCACGTGCAGACTAATCGGGCCTGTCTTATATATAGTTTTAAAATTAGATAAATAGTTTTAAGTTTTACGAAAATTAGTTTTAAAATTTGTATTATTACTAACATCTATGATCCTTGTGGTCGAAATAAACGACTTTTTTTAACGATTTACTCGACAACGCCCCTTCTTGTAGCGGAAGTGGTGGCAACGGTGACATAAGGTATTCGTCTGAGTGCTTGTTTGCGTGCGCGCGCGCGCGCGCGCTTGTGTTTGTGTATGTGTGTGTGTGTGTGTGTGTGTGTGTGTGTGTGTGTGTGTGTGTGTGTGTGTGTGTGTCTGTGTGTGTGTGTGTGTGTGTGTGTGTGTGTGTGTGTGTGTGTGTGTGTGTGCTGTGTCTGTGTGTGCATATGTGTGCGTCTGCGTATGTGTACATGTGTGTGTGTGTGTGTGTGTGTGTGTGTGTGTGAATGTGAATGGGTGTGCGTGTGTGCGTTTGTGCATGTGTGTACTGTTGTGTTTGTGTGTGTGCGGCAGTGTGCGTGTGTAAGTGTGTGTATGCGTTAGTGCGTGTGCGCATGTGTTCATGTTTGCGCGCGCTTGCGTGTTTGTGTATGTGTGTGTGTGTGTGTGTGTGTGTGTGTGTGTGTGTGTGTGCGTGAGTGTGTGTGTGTGTTTACCATAAACCAGTTAACATGTTTTCTACATCTTCGTAATCAAGATTTTTAAGGACGCGTTTACAAAATTGATAGGTTTAGAATCGAACTATTACATGAGATATTATCGTGAGACCTTACCTCCGGTCTTGATGGAGTGACCTCAAAATGTAATTTGGGATTACTAGTGGAACTCTTGGACTAGTAGAACTGGGTGTGCTGAGTTTGGGCTCGTTTTGTTAGTTATGATGAGTCCTTACTTTCGGACTTGCTGAAGTGACCTGAAGGTGTACTATGGTAACTAACACTGTAACACCTGGACTAGTAGTACTAGGTATGCCGAGTTTGGGTTTGTTTTGTTAGTTATGATGAAACCGTCACAAAACAAAAGTTCTTTTCACTTTGTCTCTAGTACCAACAGGTATTCAAGCTGATATTCGGAAAAATGAATAACCTCGTAGTAACATCTTATCAGTAGTCAGGGGCAGTATCGATATCCACTTACTAGCCACACTGTTTTTCGCTGTAACCAACTGTCCTTTATATGAACCTCACTTGCCCTCACGCGGTACCCACTTTACTGCACTCCAGTGCACCCACCACCACCTCTTCCACCTACGCCTCCACATCTACCACCGCACCCCTCTCTAAGCTTTCGTTCTCCACCTCCGCTACCTCCGCCTCCGCCATAAACTTTGCTCCATCCGCCGCTACCACCACGCGCCGTCACTATTCTATCCGCCTCCAACATAATTCCCCGTTTCCACTATCTACGACTTCACCACAAATTCCTCTCCTCCGCCTTCACCACATACTACGCTGCATTCACCTACGCCTCCACGTCTCCATTCTCCGCCTCCGTTTTCTGGGCGCACACACACACACACACACACACACACACACACACACATACACACACACGCACGCATACACACACAAACACGCACTTAGACAAACACACACGCCGCACACACACCCGCACGCACGCACACGCACGCGCATACACACACAAGCACAGACACAAACACACGCACACACACATACAAACACACGCGCGCGCACACATACATACGCGTGCGCGCTAGCACACACACACATACACACACACACACACACACTCGCACATACACACACACGCGCGCCGCACGAACGAACACACATACTCGCACAAGCACATACACAAACACAAAACAACAGTGGACACACGCACGCACACACGCACACACTCGTACCCACACACAAAAGCAAACACACGCACAACCGCATACACACACACACACGAACAACAGTTAACACACGCGCGCACACATTCTAACACACACACACGTACTAAAAAACACAACAGTGCACACACGCACATACACACTCACACAAACGCGCACGCACATGCGTTCACACGAACACACTTGAACGCACATACACCCACACGCACGCGCGCACACAAACTCGCATAAAAATCACACACACACACACACACACACACACACACAAACACACGCAAACACACGCGCGCGAACTAAATGGCACCCCCCACCTTAGACACACACACACACATACTCGAGTAATAAATTAATTTGTAATAAAGTACTATCCATCATCTTCTAATTGATCTATGACAAACGAACAAAATAACACAAGTTCACTCACACGATAACAAAAACTCGAACAGACGTCTTTCCACAATAAAACCTGCCAAAGTTTGATCCAAAAAATCAGTAGATTACACTTTTTCTTACCTTATTACTATAACGAAGTAGCCTACTGGGTTCTCTGTCACACACAGAACAGCGATGTTGCCGCTTCGTGTTCGAGTACCTATTCGTCAATTATGGCTCCGGATCCACTTAGTCTAAGTAAATGTCGCATATAAATTAAATATACTCTGGATCTAAAAAAATCATATTCAGTATGATTTTTTCGACCGTAGGTAGATCATCAAATGTTGGTCAAATCGCTGACGAGTATATTGAAAACCTGTTAGTGCAGATCCACCGACGTCACACGCGCATCAAGGATGGATCAAAGTATATCAGTTTGTGCGACGAGGAGCTGAGTCAAATAGGTTAATTAAAAATTGTTCTAACTTCTTACTGGATCAACATTTACCGTGAAAGTATTATATATATATATGTATATCATCCTTTCACGGTAAATGTTGATCCAGTGAGAAGTTAGAACAATTGTTGATCCACCTATTTGAGGTGTTTGCTCAGCTCCTCGTCGCACAAACTGATATACTTTGATCCATTATTGATGCGCGTGTGACGTCGGTGGATCTGCACTAACAGGATTTCAATATACTCGTCAGCGATTTGACCAACATTTGTTGATCTATCAACGGTCGAAAAAATCATACTGAATATGATTTTTTTAGATCCAGAGTATATTTAGTTTATATGCGACATTTACTTAGACTAAGTGGATCCGGAGCCATAATTGACTAATAGGTACTCGAACACGAAGCGGCAACGTCGCTGTTCTATGTGTGACAGATAACCCAGTAGGCTACTTCGTTATAGTAATAAGGTAAGAAAAAGTCTAATCTACTGATTTTGTGGATCAAACTTTGGCAGGTTTTATTGTGGAAAGACGTTTGTTCGAGTTTTTGTTATCGTGTGAGTGAACTTGTGTTATTTTGTTCGTTTGTCATAGATCAATTAGAAGATGATGGATAGTACTTTATTACAAATTAATTTATTACTCGAGTATGTGTGTGTGTGTGTCTAAGGGTGGGGGGTGCCATTTAGTGCGAGAGCGCGCGCGCGCGTGTGTGTGTGTGTGTGTCT